ACTAGTACCAGTACTAGCACCAGTGCTAGTACTAGCACTAGCTTCCGTACTAGTATTAGCATTAGTTAGCATTAGTGCTAGTAGTAGTAGTAGTAGTAGTAGTAGTAGTAGTAGTAGTCGTAGTAGGAGTAGGAGTAGTAGTAGGAGTAGTAGTAGTAGTAGTAGTTGTTGTTGTTGTTGTTGCTTGCTTATTTCCGCCTCTGCGCGCCATGGCACGTGAAGTCCCGGGAGCCTCTGCAGAGGATGTGCCGAATCTTCTGGATGAACTTGATGAGTCTCAGAAGAATGAAGCAGTTGGCCGACTACTGAAGCTGGAGAACGAGGAAACCTGGAACGAGCTTCTCGAGCCTTGTTAAGTTACCATAGGTACGGATACCAGGTGAATAATGTGTTTGTGGTGTCTGACGTGAAGATCTTCGACCAGCAATCAACCCAGGCTTCTCCACAGGTTTGCCTGCAAACGTGGCGTCGCGCGGCAAGTGACTTTCAGATCTCTGACCGGAGAGGCTGTTGAGTTGACACTCCCGCCGAAGCACACCCTCTTTCACGCCAAGCAGGCTCTGTTGGACAATGTGGCCACGAAGATGCCAGCTCTGGAGGTTGGCTACCGCCGGGATGCACGGTTCTTTGCTGGAAGCGAGCTCCTTGAAGAAACGATGCTTGTGGCGATGCTGCCTGACGAGGTCTGTGTGGTTTTCGATCAAGTGAAGAAGCGGTTCCACGACTTCCCAGAAAGAAGCAACGAAAATTTCTTTGGCGGTGGCGGCCTGTTCGGTTCGGACGATGACGATGACGATTGAAGGTTTCCGTTGGCCTCCATACAGTTTGGGTTGTGAACTGCAATGGTCTCATGCGGTGCCTCGACGATGTGGTTTTGACCGCAAAGCCGGCTCTGTAGCCTTGCCCGAGAGTGCCATGGCCTGCCCTGCGCCTAAGCGTAACCTTTGTTTCCAGAAAAAAGGTTGGGGCCTAGATATTTTGTAACATCATTCTTTACGTTTCATTATCATGATGATGGTACATAATATGCCCCTTCACCCCATTCTCTTCCTTAAGGCCCCTACATTAGTGCCAACCGCTAAACCCTTAACGCCCAAACCCTACATGCCAGAAGCAACCAGGGAAGCCGCGGGTTTAGGGTTTAGGTCGGGGTTTCGGGTTTAGGGGTTGTTTAGGGTTGGCTTTAGGGTTATGGAACCTTCTCAATACGATGCAGGGGTGGATGTAACCAGCTAGACTTGGGCCCAGCTGCAAAAAAGAACGTTCTTCACAATTTATCCAAGCCGGAGTTTTGGCTAATCCGGGTTGCATCCAACCTTGGGAACAGGAGAATGAGATTGGGAGTGAACGCCCAAAGCTTAATACTGAGCGAGGCCAACCGACCTGCTGATGACAGGTTTTGCGCAAGAACGCAGCGCCCCCCTAAACAGATTCAGAAAGTGGCACCCCCAATTGGTTCCTCTTTGCTGTTGGGGCCCTGTAGCCAGACTTTATGCAGCTACGCAGCTGACCGATATCGGCCCAAGTCTCAATTCATCGGTTCAAAGGAGGCAGATCTTCAGTCGGTACATCATGCAATGATCTGTTGGTTCAGGGGGTAGTAGCTGTTCCGGATCTGGGCGCCATGTCGCGGGAAGCCGAGGAAGACTCTACAGAGGCAGTGTCGAATTTTCTGGACAAGCTTGACGAGTCTCAAAGGAACGAAGCAGTTGGCCGACTGCTCAAGCTCGAGAACGAGGACATCTGGAACGAGCTTCTGGGTTCTTACAGCATTAACCTTATAAGCCTTAATCACATGCAGGATATGATTGGAATTTAAAATGCATTCCCGCAGTGGTATGTTGTATGCAGCTCCTTCGAGCCCAGGCTTCTCAACAGGTTTGCCTGCCAACGTGGCGTCGCTCGGCAAGTGACTTTCAGATCTCTGACCGGAGAGGCTGTTGAGTTGAAACTCCCGCCGCAGCACACCCTCTTTCACGCCAAGCAGACTCTATTGGACAACGTGGCCAAGAAGATGCCAGCTCCAGAGGTTGGCTACCGCCGGGATGCACGGTTCTTTGCTGGCAGCGAGCTCCTTGGCGAAAAGATGCTTGTGGCGATGCTGCCTGACGAGGTCTCTGTGGTTTTCGATCAAGTGAAGAAGAAGGTATTCGAGATCTCCTCAGACGAGAGCAACGGCTCTTCGCTCGGTGGCGGCCTGTTCGGTTCGGACGATGACGATTGAAGGTTTCAGTAATGCTCCGCACAGCTTTGGTTGTGAATTGCTGTGGTCCGATGTCCCTTGGTCTTGGCAGGCTCTGTAGCCTTGCCACACAGTGCTACATGCCCTGTAGCTCAGCAGCGTTGCCAAGCAACCAAGCCAAGCCAACAGAAGCCAAAGCCACAGTGACTTGGATGTCGCGAACACAATGCGCCGAAACGTGGTGATATAGACCCTAAACCCCAAGCCCTAAACCCTGGTAATGTGTAGAAGCCTGAACAATTTCCGAAAATGTTCCTCAAGGCCCTGAGGATGCACATTATGTTTATAATTGCCCATAATAGGCCCTAAAGTAGTTCCTTTTTGGAGTTCATATATAGAATCCTATAAGGTAATCCCGACAGGAACTACTATGGGGCCTATGGGTACTTTGAATGTAGTAGACGACACACAAAAATTCTTCCTACTACCAAAGCTTCTATGTTACCCCCTCAGTTTCTTAAGCTTGATCAGCTCAGAACGTTCTTTAGCTTCACAGGACTTAACGCTGCCCGGTATCCCTGCCAGTCTCCACAACTTGAGAGCAATTCCCACGCATGGTTCGAGCATTTTCGCAACTGAGGGTGTGAAATCGAGACGTCTAGGTCTGACATACCCAACGTTTTTAGGGTTCAGGGTTTAGGGTTTAGGGCTACGTGTCGGCGCTGGAGATGCTTTTTGCGCCTATCTAGGTACATGAAGGTCAGGTAGCGTCATGCATTGTTCCGAGGGGAGTGCCAGAGCTCGGGAAGTACCGATTAAGGATCTTTCCTCAAAAGAATTTGGGGCCTGTGGTCTAACACTCGCACAGGTTTCGGACCGTTTCCAGCAGCCGAAAACGGATCGTAGATATCCTTCGTGTTGAGGCTATTCGGCCGTTTGGGAAGAGGAGTTGACGGTAGGGCTTCCCGGTCTTAGCTATCTCCTTGCAAGGTAGGATCGTCAAAGAAGTTGAACCCTCAAAGCTTAGTCCTGAGACTTAAGTGGAGCAAACCCTAACCTGTTCCTATAGAGCACCCTAGGCCCTAAGCCCTAACCGGGGCCCTAACCTGTTCCTAGCTCGCCCAACTGCCCTTGGCGGATTTGAGGGGAGAACCTCGGGCCCACATTCAGAAAGTAGCACACACCCCTAAACCCTGAACCTTAAACCCTAAATCCTAAGCCCTAAACCCGAGACCCGAAACCCTAAACCCCACTTTATGTCACTTCAGGGATCCCTCTCGTCGATTCTTCTCGGGTTTGGGGCCATAGGGAAACCGTAAGAATCGTCTGGGAAGCCATGGGTGCGGTCATTTGGGATTTATCTTTGGTTTGTGCTATGAGGGTTGAGGTTTAGGGTTTGGGTTTGGGATTGGGGTTTAGGGTTCAGGCTGGCGGGGGTGACTGGGAAGTGGGTTGACGCTGTCAGCACAGAGGTTTCGGAGGCATTTTCGCACTTCATAGCATTGCTGGCCTGGCTTGTTCCTGGTTTTTATTGCTACTAAATGCCAGCTACACAGGTAATTTGCGATGGCTACGGTCATTGAGCCCAAGATCAAAAATCCCTCAACCCTTAAGAGGTTTGTGGGTGGCCAAAATGTGCTGGAGCTTTCTCAGAATCGAAACCCCAATCGTCTAGCCTGATGCCGTGATATCGGCCCAAGCCTTATATAATTCACCTGTCATGCACTCTTCTTGCACTTAGATAGCCAATGGGAGAACTTTAAACTTTTTGTCCCTATATATTAGATCTATCTTCAAAAGTTTGAACTTTTTTGGCCAGGTTCTTGAAGAAGAGAGTGCATCCCAATAGCGCGAACACAGGAAATGTTGGCTCAGGGGATAGTAGCTGTTCCAGATCTGGGCGCCATGTCGCGGGAAACCGAGGAAGACTCAGTGTCGAATTTTCTGGAGAAGCTTGACGAGTCTCAGAGGAATGAAGCAGTTGGCCGACTGCTCAAGCTCGAGAGCGAGGACATCTGGAACGAGCTTCTGGGTCCTTACAGTACTAACCTTATAAGCCTTAATCACATGCAGGATATGATTGGAATATAAAATGCATTCCCACAGTGGTATGTTTGTATGCAGCTCCTTCGAGCCCAGGCTTCTCAACAGGTTTGCCTGCCAACGTGGCGTCGCGCGGCAAGTGACTTTCAGATCTTTGACAGGATGGCTGTTGAGTTGAAACTCCCGCCGAAGCACACCCTCTCGCACGCCAAGCAGGCTCTATTGGACAACGTGGCCACGAAGATGCCAGCTTTGGAGGTTGGCTACCGCCGGGACGCACGGTTCTTTGCCGGAAGCGAGCTCCTCGTCGAAAAGATGCTTGTGGCGATGCTGCCTGACGAGGTCTCTGTGGTTTTCGATCGAGTGAAGATCTACGGGATTCCTTTTTTTGAAGGCTTCAACTGAGTGCCTTACAGCTTGAGTCGTGACCTGCTAATTTGATGTTGTGCCTGGGTGTAGCATTGACCCACTGCCCTTGGTCGCGCGCAGATCTAAATCCGAAATCCCTCAGCTTCGCTAACCCATAGTCCCAAACCCTGATCAAAGCAGAGCTCGACCTAGGCCTGAACGACCCTCCTCCTCGAGCATCACACCCCTTCGCCCCGGAAGCTCTAAACCTCGTCCTTGCTAGGTAGGAGGCAAAAAACCCTAAACCCTTTTGAACACGGCTGATCCCTAGAGCTCGCAAGTAGAATCAACCCGAAGCCCTCAAACCTGCAACAGGCTTTAGGGTTTAGGGTTTAGGGCTGGCCGGCACCTCAGTCCGTGCTGAAACAGGGTTTAGGGTTTAGGGCAACAGCCCTGAAACCCGGAACCTCGCAACTTGAAGCTTCAACAGCCAACGAAACCAAGCTCAAAGCCCACAGGAAAATGATGAAGGCCCAATTATTCGTTGGCCCTGAAACAGCAACAAAAACCTTGTCCCAGATCCGCCCTCAACAACGCCAAGACCCGAAAGCGCAGAATCCACAAGCAAAAACCAAATAGGCCCCAGGATAAGTATCGTACCCCAACTCTTAACCCTAACAAAAAGCCTTAGTTCTTACCCTAAACCTTAAAAATAGGCTAAACCCTAATAGCCTAAGCCCTTTATACCCTAAACCTTTTTCAGCCTAAACCCTAAATAGCCTATACGGTTTTTACAATATCTAAACCCTTCTGACCCTGACCCCTGATGAAATACCTTTTTTTTTACGTTACCTTTTTCCTAAACCCTACATATATATATATATACATACATACATACATACATACATACATACATAAATAAACCCTAAGCCCTTTTTTGCGCCAATCCCTCAAATGCCCTAAACCCGCAGTCAAGTCCAGGACTTCCCTGTCAGACGGCTCGGTCCCAGAGCGATTGTCGGCGCTGCTCTTGGCGCAGGCCCTGCAGTTCGGGAGAGAAGGATGTAGGGTTTAGGGCTTAGGTTAGAAAAGGATGTAGGGCTTATAGGATTTAGTGTAAAAAAACCCAGGGTTTAGTGTTTCGGGCCTAGGCTGTCCATCGTTTGAGTGCTAGATTCGAGGGTTTGCTGCATATTTTTGGCCAGAACTTCATGGCCCGGATGCAACAAAGAAGGGTTTAGGGTTCAGGGCAACCGGGTACAAAGGGGTACTTGGGGGTCTTAGGGTTTGCGGGCAAGGGGTTTAGGGGAGAAGGTGTTTAGGGTTTATGAGAAAAGGGTTGAAGGTCAAGGGTAAAACGGGCTTGGGGCTTCGGGTAAATAGGGTTTAGGACAGCTTTGAGGGTTTAGTAGAACAGGGTTTTAGGTTTTTTGGTGAAGAGGGTTAAGGGTTTAAGGTTCAATCCGGGAACCGCCAAGTTTAACAGCAGCACGCGATAATATCAGAGGTGGGGGCACTGCCGATCCACACCCGTTTCTCAATCATCAAACTTGATGCTGAGAATTATGTTTAGCCGTGGTGTCGCTGCAGTAGCGATAGAAGCTAACATCTGAATCATCATATTGAACTTGATGCATCTAGATCTAGATTGCTGATCACTCATTAGCTATGAATTGTGAAACTCATGATGTTGTCGCTGTAAGCCCTACACAACCCCTGAACCCTAAACCTCGCCGGAAGCTACTGAATGTTCAGGCCCTAGCGGTGGCTGAGGCGCCGCCAGCAGTCCTCGAGGCGTTGATCCTTGTGGGGTTCAAGAAATCAAGTATTACATTGAATTAGATTTGCCGGGTCGGGGGTATCGGGTTTTCGGATTCATGAGTTCAGGCTGAAAAAGGTTTAGAAAAGGCCGAACAGGCAAGGGCCTACGAGCGCCACCCTATCCATGCATGCCGTCCACACAAACCATTGCAGGCGGGGCAGTTTCATGATCGGGAGAAGGGGTGTTCGGCTATGCCATGACCCGCAGAAGCCTCGCAAAGGTTGTTGGGACCCTGCAGTATCCCGAAACCGCCCATACCGTTTTGCTGTTAGCTCGTTTCCATCGCCCAGGTGCTTGCCTCGGAAGCAGAGCGATATCTGGACTTGAAGGTGGGGGTGTGATTGTCAAGATAGGGCTTGAGGTTGAAGGGTTCCCAGAGAGCCCAATACCCCCTAAATAAGGAATATAGCTTAAATTATAGGAGCCTTAATACTATGATTTAAGGTATATTCCTTAATTAAGGGGTATGGGGCTCTCTGGGTTAGTGGCAGTACGACCTTAAATAAAAGGTTTCGGGTTGACGCTTTGGTTCGGGGTTCGGCCTAAAGCTCCGAACCAGCTTGCGTTTCGCTGCTGGCATCGGATGCTACAGATCCCCAGGGTTTAGGGTTTACCCTAAACCCTAAACCCTCCATGGTCTTGGAGCCCAAACCTCGGCCTAGACATATCCAAGCCTTGAACAAACCTTCATATGCATCATCCTATGTAGTCACTGCGCCCTAAACCCCGTCGATCTGCACTCCTAAGCCGCTGAAGCCATGTAATCGAAAAGGCGCTGAACCCCAAACCCTTTCAATTAGAGATGCTTGAGGATATTTTCTCCGAGCTTCAGAGAATTGGGGAGGATGATAGTTGGAACATGGAATTCTGAAGATTAATGCTTGGATTGCATTTATTGCATGTATGCTTTGCCTTCGAGAAATAGGATGTTCCAATTGTCTGACTGTTATTTTCGGGTCATCCAGGCAGTGTTTTTCTCAGGGTCATTGCTGGGTGCAGTGGGTCACACTGAGTCTTGAGACCCTTCATGAAGGACTACAGTGGAGAATGTCTCCCTCTAGTATAAATATATATATACACACACACATATATATATATATAAGCAGAATATATTGACATTGAAAGCGGTTCGAGATAAAGTATCATAGCCATTTCGTATTTGCGGAGTATAGGATACTGGCGGTTCCTTCGTTTGCCCACCTGCATGCTCGGAAATCGTCGATGTGTGCAGCACTCAAGTCTGCTTGGCGCCAGGACGGCAGCCATGGCTTCGCACAACTTGGTGAGGTGCGGCGGGCAGTCATAGGGTGTTGGCCACTTGCGTAGAACCTTAGAGTCCTCACAGGAAGCATCTACTTCAGCCCTAGCACAAGGCAAGATGACGTAATTTCTATGTACTGACCGATGCTAAATTCTAGCGGTGTCGCTTGGTTCTGAGCCCGGAGTTCTGAATCCTGTGGCCGAAAACCCCCAGAGATTCTAAAGGACATGAGAATGGTGTATTGGGGTTCAGTGTAGCTTTGATTAATTACATATGTTTACACTCTGGAACCGTAATGAATAGAATTAGAACCCTAAACCCTAAACCGTGTTAGTGATTGTTCGCTCGACATTATAGTTGCTATGCTAGTTGGACACGAGACCTCGTCTGGCGGAGTCCGAGTTGCGAGAGCGTAAACCGTGCTAGTTGTAGGAATTCTTCAGGCCCCCGAAGTCGCAAATCTTGTTTTATTTTAAGGAGAGACCCTGGGTTAGGGGTTTAAGGATTTACGGGTTTAGAGGTTTAGGGTGTAGGGTTTGGGGTTTAGGGTTTTTAGGGCCCTGGGTTAAGGGAATCCTTTTGCGCTTTGCCAAAGGCGGCCTTAGATGTTCTGGCCTCCGTGTCCTTCTCGCACCCCACCGCTGCGAGTTTCGGCGCAGAAAGGGCCGGGCCTCTGCTTCAGAGTAGCCGTGTTTAGGGTTTGGGATTCAGGTGCCTGAGTTAGAAGTAGTGGAAGAAGTAACCTTACAATTTGTCGGGCTGCTACAGTATAACACCATACACTACCTATACAACCCCCCAAGAGTTAACCTTTTGTTCCCGCAGGCCCCAGCAGGGATAAGAAAGGTGGCTCACACCTTTGGTTTAGATTTGTTGGTGTTGGGTTGGTGGCTCAGCTTTCTGAGGTTGTTGCGGCTTTGCCCAAGTCTGCCTACTATAGAGAGGCCACCGACTCCTGTTGGGTTGCATAGTCGGGAGGCGTTCGCTTCAGATTCTGGGTGTATCACGCAACTGCATGTGCAGTTACACTACAAAATACCTTCACCCTAAGGGTCCATGTACCCAAATAGTAGAACATTGGCCTTAATGTAGTCCCTATATAGGTACTAAATGTTCTACTATTTGGGTACATGGACCCTTAGGGTCATATAATCCTACTCCCTGAACCCGAGTCCCTGGTCCGTAGGCTGCCTGCCTTTCCCAGCCGGCGCTCTAGGATCGAGAATTTGGGCTGGAGCAAAATGGCAGAGACTTGGCTGTTCTTGCAGGGGGCTGTACATTAGAACAGAGTGTTTAGGTGTTTTGAACGAATGAGTGTATCTTAGACTTCTACTTATCTTCGGAGCTGTGAGGGGACATGATTACTAATTTTTACCGAGCCCCATAAGGACCACAGACAACATGTAGGAGCTTGCGCTTGTAGGAATCTTTCCTGGAGCAAAACACCCTGAACAGAGTTTCTAACAGTTCAGGTATCATGTGTGTGTTTGTATTAAATACTGGCTACAACACAACGACGACGACGACGACAACTGCGATCACGAGGACGACGACTGCCGCTGATACTAAGCTGATGTATCGTTGACGTTACTATGTGTGGGCCAGTGGTAGTTGCGGCCGCGCGTCCGAAGACCAAGGCTGGATGCCTCCCCCATGTCGCAGTACTTTTTGTTCGTGCTGTTGAGTAATTGTAGTCCTGGTACTTCCGCAGCCAGGTTGAGGAATCAGGCCTTCTATTAAATGCTGTAGTTACATTGTTCGTCATTCGTGCACATGTCTCTATATCTGTATTCGTATAATATATATATATATATATAGAGCATGTTTGAATGTATTTGTTTGTTTGCTTTTCCATATCTGTATACAAACAAGTGTGTGTGTATATATACATATGTAATATATGTATATATGCGTGTCTCACGTACATGTAGAATATAGTGTAGCATAACGCAAGTATAAATGTAACAACAAATC